AGTGTAATATTGGTAGTTATTAAAAGTAATATCTTTTAATAATATGTTTATATTACAGAAAAGCTGTGAATGATCAAAAAGAAATGAAATTATTATTAGACATGTATAAAGGAGTTAGTAAAGACCAAAGAGACAAAGTACAATTAATGGCAGCTGAAAAAAAACTTCGAGCAGAACTTGAAGAAGCAAAACAGGCCCTAAAAAAAATACAAGTAAGACATTTCTAAATTTTTTCTTATTAATTTCAATATTACTTCATTTTAATTGATATTTTTACTTATTTTAGGAAGGCAAACGTGAAGAACGCAAGAAACTAGCTGATGAGGATGCCTTACGAAAAATCAAACAATTGGAAGAACATATTGTTCAACTACAAAAACAAGTTGCTACTCATAAACAAGTATGTCTTGGTTTTGAATACTAGTCTAAGGCATAATATTAATTAAATTAATTTTTTAGGAAGAAGAAGCGATGCTAAGTGAAATGGAAGTGACAGGTCAAGCATTTGAAGATATGCAAGAACAAAACTCTAGATTAATTCAACAATTACGTGAAAAAGATGATGCTAATTTTAAATTAATGACTGAACGTATAAAGTCCAATCAATTACATAAAATAGCTCGTGAGGAGACTGATACTCTCAAAGAATTGGTTAGTTTCAACTTATTATCAATGAATATTTAAAAAATAATAAATTTTTATAATTGATAATCTAGATAAAAACTTTAACAAATCAAGTAGAGATGACAAACACAGTAGTTCGTAAACTAGAAGAAAAAGAGCGTATATTGCAAAATTCTTTAGCAACAGTTGAAAAAGAATGTTCAATTAGACAACAAGCTATGGAAATGCACAAACGAAAAGCAATTGAAAGTGCTCAGTCTGCAGCAGATTTGAAATTACATCTTGGTAATTAATTATTCTAACTAAGAAATTAATATTTCAAACTCATATTATGTTGTATGATGTTCAAGAGTGAAATAGCTCCCACCAAAAAACTTTTATTTTATTGCTAATATTTTATATTTGGTGTAGTAGATTACTGTATGAAGATTTTTCTAAAAATCTAAACACCTCCCCTCCCCGCCAAATAACTAATTACGCCACTTCATCAATATTATTGATGATACAATATCTTATTTAATATTTATTAATTATGTTAAAGACAAATATCATGCACAAATGAGAGAAGCACAACAAGTAGTAGCAGAAAAAACCAGTGCCCTTGAGGCTGAAGCATACAAAACCAAAAGGCTACAGGTTAAAATCATATTAACATTTTTTGTTTCCTTCAATACATATGCACAGAATATAAATTTTTCATTCAAAATATTTCAACTCTTTCAGTTATTTTTAATATTAAAGTGAATTGATGTATTATTATTTATTATACTTAAAGGTATGAAATCATCCAKAGCTTATCATGTTGTATATATGATTATTGTATGTTTTAATTTTATACCAATTTATGAGAATTTTATCATTTTCAAAAACTTCAAAATTTAAATTCTTGTGTGATACTAAGTTTACCTTTAAATTTGATCATATATCAATTTACTATAATATAAAAATAACAGAGCTAAATTATTTATTCCTAATATAAAATTTGCTAAGTTATTCTTAGGTAAGATTGAGACTAGACTTATGATTTATATGTTTAACATTTTGATTATATACATCTGATCTGACTTATCTAAATTAATCGTAACAATCTCACATCAAACAAATTTTAATAACTCAGTTGAGTATTGTATTTTWWWWAATGATTCATAATTAGGATCCTATATTCTACTTCTTTTTAATCTTATAAGCAATTTATATATCTTTTAGACACGTTATTTACAAGTATTGTAAAACTTAATTTTAATGTAAAATATTACAGGAAGAAATAGTACAACTAAGACGAAAAACTGAACGTATGAAGAAAATTGAACAAGCTGGTACATTAGATGAAGTTATGGTGGAAGAAATTAGGGAGTATAAAGAAACACTTACCTGTCCATCATGCAAAGTTAAGCGAAAAGATGCAGTACTGACTAAATGTTTTCATGTTTTTTGTTGGGATTGTTTACGTACTCGTTATGAGACAAGACAAAGAAAATGTCCAAAATGTAATGCAACATTTGGAGCTAATGATTATCATAGACTTTATCTTGGGTCATAATTATATTKAGAGTTATTAGTAAGATTTGTAGCCCAACATTTAGGTATATTGTAACCTGATTGTTTTGCTGTCCTATTTTGATAATTATATTTTGATGATTGTTCCAAGATTTGTTTAGATTATTATAGTGCAACATTATTCCTAATCGAATAGTTTTTGACTACATACATTTATTAGATTTAGGAAACTAGAATTTAATGTTTATTTTCAACGTTTGCACAATTTGCAAAATGTGTTGCAGTTAAACAAGATGGGTCCTTAACTTTTCATTATAATATTTCTAATAAATATTACTACACTTAATAGTTCTTTTTATTCTTATGATTGACAACATTAATATAGTTTGTATTAAAAATGTTAACTAATATTATTGTGAAAATCATTCAAAACAATAATTATTACTACATGTTAACATATAACTGTATACTGATGTATTGTAAATTATTGAAAATATAAATAATTTATTTAAAATAAGAAAACAAAAATGAATTAATATTTTATATGATTAACACTTTGGTTTTATGACGTTACATTACCAATTAAAATGMACAAATTGTTGCAATATTATATAAATCAGTACAGTATCTTAGATTATGCTTAGACTAGTATTATTCGTATAAATATTAACTGATATTGTTTAAATCAAAGAGATATTAATGTTATAAATTATTTTCTCTAGTTGTTTAACATATCAAAATAAGGATATTGTAATAAATTGCCAGTGTATATCTAGATATTTAGACGTTAACATAAAAAAATTACCTTTTAATCATTTGTGTAGATTTTAAATTTTATTCTACTGTAACAAACCATGTAAACCTGTAATGTTAGCTAATCATTATTTTGTATTTGTAAGTAAGAAGTGGGCACCATAATGTAGTATGTAAATAAGTGCTTTATTATTTACAGATTATAATATAATATATAGATGATATTGTTCCTTTGTGTTTAATCATTATTACCTAATATCTACAACTTTTAATATATAAATTATTAATATTATTTTGCTTTTAACTACCTCTAATTAGATGAAAATGTGCCTAATTCTGTGTCAATGAGGGTACAACAATCAGTCAATTGTTTGGTGACTCAACATTCCATTTATCATCGGAAAAAGTGCAACATGTTCATTTCTGATAGTTGTTTTTTATTATACATTATTAATAATTTTATGAAAAAAAATTCTTGTCTAGTGATCTGTTTCCGCAGAATGTATAGTTTTTGAAAATTGGATATAACTCTGTGGCTCCTTTGGGTATTACCAAATTTTGATTGCTCCCAAATTATTATGAAAAAAATGAAATAATGCAATACAATATGGCTAACATTAACAATGAATTTAATACTAAAAATAAAACTGACCATAAATGAGTTTTGTTATCGTTTTCACAATGATAAAAAATAATAATTATACAAGACCTACGTTCATTGTTGGTTTCTGGTATTTTGACACGGCTCCAGGCATGTAGTCCTAAAGTTATCTGTGTGTATGCTACATATGTGGCAGCTTTTGTAATTAACCCAGGTGGCCAGGCCCGTATCCACAATGGGAGGGGGCAGTGCCCGCTTAAAAATATTAGAAAGACATTGTTTTATATATAAACCCCCCCTTAAGGTTTGCTTTGCCCCACCTGAAAATTTTGTCTGGCTACGGCCTGCATCAACCCCTCCACCACCACCTCCTTTCAATTATATAAATTAATAATATATAAGTAGGTATTAAGTTGATTTTAAATTATAATAACTTTAACAATGTAATTGATATTATTATAAAGTATATTTATTTACCTAATACATAATATAATACTTATAAAGTTATAAATTAAGATCATAGTATACTCCACAATTTTTGTTTCAAGCTGTCTTTTTCATTTCTATTTATTTTTCTGGACCTATTGTCATCAACTGTTCTGGTTTAAAATCCAACTTTTAACATAGTCTTCAGGGTTCCATATACTCAATGGTGGACCATTTATGTTAATGAGCATCAGGTTTGAAATATTGTGAATAGTTAATCTTGAGCATATGTCAGTGCAAATAATATTCATTAAGCTAAATCGACATTCACGTTCCGCAGTAGAACATGGAATAATTTTTATCAAATTATTTATTTCATTTAGTTCATCAATTTTATCAGTTTCTTGCCGCATACTCGAGCATACCCTCCACTACATCCCTGACGTGCCTTTGCAAACTCTCACAACGTCCCTGGAAGCTGTGACACGCAGTTTGAACTTCTCTGTTATAACTGCATTACTTACTGCTATAACAAAGTTAGTAACATACTTATCTATGGTTAGTAATATTATAATTAAATGAAGAAAAAGTGGCGTTTATTTTGGGGAGGGACTAAATGCTTGTAAAAATAAAATCTATTTTGGTATTTTCCACGTTGCAGAGATCTTTTGACACCATGTTAAAAACTATCTAAATATTCCACATTATTGAAAATCAATATATTTTTCAGTTATTCCTAGACAAATAGGTTCAACCTCTAGTACGAGAAACCTTGATAATATTGAGGACATATTTGACCATCATGAATTGGGCTTTTGTTATTAAAAATTATTAAACTCCACATTCATGTAAACCGGATCACCTGAGACAAAGATTCTATTTATTTTAAAAGCAGAATTAGTAAATTTAATCAAACAAATAAAAAGTATTAAAGCGTTACTTGTTTGAAATCAATCAGCACATTTATTACAATATTTTTTTATATAATATATAAATATTACTTAATTAATTTGAAAAAAAAATACAAATTAAAAGTTTTTGGTATTAAAAATGATTTAATCTATCAAATATAATATTAGTATAGAAATTAGGCACAGAATACACTAATACATAATATTGGTATTTATTAAAGTGCATTTTACAATTTTTACATTATGCTAAATAATAAGCAGATTGTTTCATATGACAATTGTGTTATGCTGACCAATTCAATCCGTGGTTTCTAAATATGATTGACTTCAATTAAACTTTGCTTTTTATCTGAGCTGAGATGATTTCTTATTGTTGATAGAGTACACCAAATTATTGTTCAATGACTGAAAGGTTTTTTTTTTTTAACTGAAAAAAATACCAAAAATTAACTGTTAATAAAAATATATTGATGTTTTTGTAAGTTAGTCATCTCTGAATATTAATTTGTAGATTGTAGTTATTGAGTAAAAAGTTTAAAAAAATGAGATTCATATTAAAATCCAAAAATGTATACATTTATTATTAATAGAGAATTACAATATTACAAATATACTTATTTACGGTAACGCATTGGTGCTGGTCTTCTCATAAAACGTTCTGGAGGAGTAATGCAAACATCTAAGTAATCACCAATAGTAAATCTGTAACAAAATAATCAATCTTTTAATATCAATATAACCTATGCTATGTCATAGGTAGGAGGGTCTAGGTGTTTAACGTCCTCCTCACATCGCTTGTTATACCTAATAAATAGATTACTTAGATACGAAAACTGTAAAAAACTTAGTTTAATTTAAACATACATTGCCCCTAACCTTTTAATATCCCGGCATGTATTTATTATATTAAAATACATGCCGGGATATATATTAAAAATCATGAAATATGCATTACATTAATAAAATATTATAACAATACATTTTTAATTTTGAACAATTATCATTATAAGTAATCAATAGTTTGTTATTGATGACTTATTGCTTTTATTTAGGTATTTTTAGTTAAAATATCAATAAATTACAATCATAATTTTGTATATATTTACTGACAAGAGTTTTTCTTATGTAGCTCATTGTTTGCACTAGTTCCCACTTGCTATTCTATAGCTTATCTCTCAGTGCATGTAAATTTTACTATTTAAATTTACTTACAGATATTTAAAGTTTTTCACTTTTTAAAGTATAAATTATCTGCTTGTAAATTCTTTGTCTTTCTGAAGAGAACTATGAATTTGATTTATTCTTTGCCACATAATGCCATTTATTAGCTAACTGCTAAGAGTTAAGATATTATTCGAGCTATTTCTTATTTGAATTTACCTAAAATAACTATCTATATCTACGTAAGCCAATATCTATTGTTTACTAACCATCTCACTCGTTGTTTGAGACCTATTGTCTATTATACAAGAGAATAATCAGCCTACGGACTGTAATTTCTAAGGATTTTCTAGGCCTTGATTAAATAKTGTTGAGGACAAGGCAGGCACTCAACTGTAACTAAATGATTAATTTATATAATAACACTTAAATTATGTTATTTCAATTAATTTTTTTAATTTATTAAAACTAAGTAAGTATATGTTTCTTTTATGAATTAGGTGCTGTGTATAATATAAATCTTCGGTAAAGTTTTTCAAACTATAACCTACTGACAAGTTTTTACAAGTATGAAGCAAATTACTCAAATACAAACTAAATATGATTATAAACATTTTGGCTTACATATTTAAAGGTTGTTTAGTTGATCACAAGTTTCACCACCTCGTTTAAGTGCTTTAAAAATTCAAAGTTACCATAAATACCATATACCTTGTGTTCCCTAATGTTTTCGAATCATCTGGAGATCTATTTCCAGCAACAGTCAGACCGATTTCAAATGCATTAAATCTTGGGCAATTATATTCTGGTGATATTAGAACAAAATCAAATGTTGTTCCACGGACTCGAGATTCAATATTCACTTCTTTAATCAGACCAGTTAATTCACGTAGCGTAGCGTCCATCCTAAAAATGAATAACAATTAATATTGTTTTAGTGCAAGTTAAGATATCTGCTTGATAGTCCTGTGTATATATAAGACAAAGGTAGTTGACCCTGTGTAGTTTGAAGAGTAGAAAAATTATTATTCTAGTCCTATGCAATATGTACCATGTATATATTTGAAGTTCATTCCCAGGCACATTGCCCCGATAATATTCCGATAAATTATTATGATGTCCCATTGCACAGAATACCCTTAATAATAATGGGCAAGTCTGAAATGACAAAATATTTATAATTATGACAAATCAATATTATTTTAAATATTAACTTTTACCTTTTCTCTGTTAACAGGTTTTTCTTCAACTTTTACAAGTGACTCAACTGCAGCCATTTTTAATTCGTTAAACTTTTTCTAATAAATTTAAGTGCCAATAAATGTTTATTTGAAATTCACAAAAAAAGATACAAGAGTTCTAGGCTTCTACTAATTTAGATATGAATATACTTAAACGACTCAAACTACAAACTCGAAACCAGTAACTTTTATTTGACGCCGACTAAGCTACAAAGTACAAATGCTACAATAATAAATTTATAATTCAGAATTCTTATCTTAATATTTAATAGTTAAACATTCAATCAACATCAAAACAAATTAAATACAGTGTTGCCTTTTATTCAGAAATGTTTAGGTTTTTTTGTTCTGTTGTTTTGTGGAACTTGTCTTGATGGGATTGAGAGAGGGTAAAAATCTTAGATCATATACTATCATATCATGATCTAAGGTAAAAATTTTCCTCAAAATATCATGGAGGAAATAAATTTGATTACCAGCAGGCAGCAAATGAGAAATTTTTTGAATTATAAAATACTAAAATAGTATGCACAAATAAAAATATATTGTCCTACCAAAAAGGCAAAAACCTATGGAATAGATTTATATTTACAGATAATATAAATATTTTCAGAAACATAATAGGTATGACCACCATGGCGTATGTCGTATGTCATTCCATATTCTCCTTCCAATATGTTCTACACTCTTCCTACCTCGAAATTAAAAATACATAAAATACTTGGTAATAGGTCTGCTACAACTCTACAAGTCAACTCCCTCGATAATAAAAACAAAAAATTAATATTTGTGAAGTTTTTAGTGACTATTTAGTAATTGCCGAAAGCATGAACTTAAAAACCCTAAGTTTTGACAAATTTTAAAATGTCAGAAACACATTTTTGTTTTTAAACATCAATTTTATGATAAATAGGAACCTACATTATTATTACCTATCCAATCTTTTTTACCCGCATTCATTTCAAAGGAAAAAAATAGACTCGCTTCATTAATGTGGTTAAGCAATCTTATACGCAGAATTCTATGTTACGAGTTGTACAGATAAATACTCCAAAAAATATCCAATTTTGGAATTGTGTCCATCGTATAATTCAATGAAGTAAATAACTTGAAAACGTATGACAATATCATATAATATCTATTATCTATGACGATTGACGAAGATTGGTCAATCGTCCCTTGCCATTCCGCATTCGTGGTACGTATCCATAAATAACACAAATATAAAAATTTAAGAAAGTAATAAATTACACTTATTAGCATTAAAATTTTTAAACACGGTTTTAAACTTTTAAAGCCAGCACATAATTATTATTATTGTAATGTAATAATAAAATTTTAGTTTTAATTAAAAAATTGGTTTGAATATTTGTCTTAAAATTATATTATCTTAGAATTTTCAATAGATGTCTTTCCTACTTCTTTTCACATTGTACTAAATCTAATAGTTTTCCACATCGTCGGTTAATGGACCAATTATTGTAACCCTTAATAATGAAATTTTTCAGGAGGCAGTGGCGAGGCACTACAATATAGTTTTTCTTATGATTCTGTTAACTACCTATTGTTTTTTTAGCAACTAAAATAGTTTATTTATAAAGCAATAATATCATACTTGCCAAACTAAATTCAATATTTTATATAACCTAGTTGATTACACTACTTGGCCTGTAATAGTATGAATCATTGTGGCTTGATAATTTTAGAAAATGATGAATGCAGTAATTGGCATCATATAATTCAATAGTTCCAATTATTACTGTAACCCTCAGTAAAATATCTTATTTTAGAGTATAATTGTAATTGAAGCCAACAAGTGATTTTTCATTAAACTTGTTTAAAAGTGCTACGATTTTTGACTTCAGTACTTCGTTCGATCAGAAAGTGAATCTAGTTGGTACTTTGGGGGGTCAAAAGTGAAAAATTCTTAATAYTTTTCTAAATAATCGRGAWAAACAAACTAAAAATTAAGGAAAAAACGGGAATTTTTACGCACACTCATTTTTCGACAAAATCGATTTTGGTTTTTGATGTAACTTTAAAACAA